CCGTGATCCAGTTAAAGTTCAGCTACGGCCAGTCAATTTCTTCTTTATTGCTTTACTAGCAGAAAATCTGTTTTATTCGTTCTATTTTATTGTTGTTGGCACAAGTAATTTAATGTCCATTGCATTTAAGCTAATATTTGAGTTGTTGTTGTTGTCGTTGTTGTTGTTGTAGCTGTTGCTTCCTTCGGTTCGTTCGTCTGTTTTAATGCCATTTCTGTATGGCTTTTACGAGCAATTTTATTGCCTTTTTTAATGCCGAACAGCGGCTGGTCACTTGTAGGACTACACACCGAGAGCAGAGTCCAAAAGTAAACACTACAACCCCCCAAACCTCTGCGCCAAGGCAATTGTTGGCCCTTTTGCGTTACCAATTTCGTGTTTAGTTTACTGCACTAATTTTCAGCCATTAAAGCACGCGGCGTATACGCAACGCCGCTATTTTAATTATTTTGTACAGCATTATTTAAGGCGGGAAGGGGAGCGAGGACGGAGGACTGAAGAACTGAGGTCCCTAAATTACCTTATATGCATTAACAAGCACACACCCACACGCACATATACTATACATATCTCTACTCACACACACACACCTACACACTCAGTTTGCCTGCTGCTTATATTAACTCTTTGAGTCACTTTTGTGCATTAGTCACACTTGGCCGCTTGCTTTGTGCCTTTTGCTTTTGCTTTTCCTTATTTGTTATTTGTTATTGGTTTGTTTTCTCTCTCTCTACCTCTCTCTCTGTCTCTTACTTTGTTTTTGTTTTTGTTACGCTTTCTCGTTTCTTTCTGATTGATTTTGGTAAGCTTAAAAGTTATTAATGTACACATCAAAGCCAAAGTCTTTCAAATGTTATGTTAAGTTATTTCAATCGAAACTTGACAACATTCGTGACATTTGAATGCCCTGTTAAGTGTGAGCAAAGTGGGTATACTGGGGCGTAGGGAATTGAAGCTTAAATATTATCATATTCATATAAAATGAGATCCAATTGAATGCCTAAAATTTATCATTATTTTATACATAAACAAAAATTTCTTTAAATATAAAAAAATCTTTTACAAAAAATTTCCCATCTTTTACAGGGTATACCAGCAAAAAAAAAACATTCCTGAAGCTCAACCCCTGTTTTTTCTGCTTAGAATGCGGGACTTTTAATCAAATGCTTGTGCATCAAAGCTAACCCACAGCAGCAAAAGTTCAAACCGAACAAACCTTTGCTGGGCCAGTGGGTCAAGCAGCGCCAAACTAATTTGACACTGAGTGTTGGCCGCAAACTGATGGCACAGACTGTGCATAATGCTTATTATCCTCGACCAAACAGGCAAAGGCGTTTCAAGCAGCTGGGCAGCTGCTCTTTCATTTTGTTGCATGCAATTTGCAATCGGCAGCAGCAGCAGCAGCAGCAGCAAATGAACATTAGAGCCAGTGTTGGAAAATAAACAAAGTGAACTTCGTGTGAGTGACAGACAGACAGGCAGAGCGGCAGGCAGACAGTTAGTCAAAGAGTAGCAGCAGGATGCTCTGGCCTGCGTTAAGTATGCAACAGACTTCACACACACACACACACACACCATAAATAGTTAACACTCGCTAAGTGTGTGCGTGCGTGTGTGTGTGTGCGAGTGTGTGTTAGTGTCATGTTGCCTATTATGAATTGTGCAATTGTCGTCAACGCCAACGCGCTTCTACTCAGCTTCTCTGTTGTCCAACTGACTGCACTCACTGTGCTGCTCTCACCCCCTCTCTCTATCAGCCCCTCTCTCTCTCTGTCTCTCTCTCTCTCTCTCTATCCCTCTCTTCCTCTGACTTTGACTCTGACTGACTGGCAGCTGCAGTCGTCGCCATCGCCGTCGCCGCCTGCATTTATCTCTTTCGCTGCTGCCACTCCCACAGCGCCAACGCCCACGCCCACGCAGCATCATCAGCATCCACATTGTGATCATCGTGCGCTTTGTTTGCACCGCTGACGTACGCTGTCTGCTCTGTTTGCGAGCATTATATGCCATTTTTTTTCTTTTTTGTCCTTTCACTTGACTTTGCCAAGACCCCTCAACAACAGTTGCTGCTGTTGTTGCTGGTGTTGTTGCAATTGCTGCTGCACTTCTTGTAAATGACTCTTCAACGTTTGTCGTATTTGTCTGGCAGCACTTTAAGTGCCAAATATTTTTACATTTGTTTACTGGCATTGCTGTTGCTATGGCAGTTGCTGCTGCTGCTGCTGCTGCTCCTGCTGCTGCTGCTACTGCTGCTGCTATTGCCATTTGCATGCAGTGCACATATTTTGACAAATGACGCATGTTGCTTTCTGCTTTCAGCTTTCTGCTTTCGGCTTTCAGCTTTCGGCTTTCTGCTAGCTGCCTGTGCCTTGTGGCAACTGCCTGCTATCAAATTTATGACATGGCACTGGCACTAATTAGACCAAGTGCCCAAATCAGAAATCGTCCAGTTAATCAAGCGTACAAGTATTTAATTAAGTGTCCAAAAAATTGCCCACAAACACACTAACTACTTTCTCATTAACAACACAGCCTAGAGATGGGCGAGTACAAACGATAAAATTACAGTGTTGTTAAATGCTTAAATGTGCCTTTAATGACATTCAGTAGTGATTAAATATAAATCTAAAATATATTATTAAGATATAAAGACTGGAACTGACTTATGCTGAATAATGAATATGATAATGATGATAAGATTTCAGACTAGTTCTGTAAGCAACCTATTCGATATTGAATGCGATAGTTTTGTCTCACGATAATTGCACAGCTCTATTCAGTAGTTCCTGTAGACATTTCATAGCTTTGGGCGAACGCTACAATTTAATATTTATGCGCTTTGTTGGCATCGCATGTCAAGTCATCAAATTGAGAAATGTGAAAAAGCCAAAGAGGGGGAGAGAGAGGGGGTGAGGTTGGGGCGAGTAAAACAGAAACTAAAATCTAAAATACGAGCACTAGTTGAGCTGGCCTAGGGAAAGTATATGTGCTGTCTGTCTGTTTGCATTCATCATCAGCGATGGCAATTGACTGACAGCAGCAGCAACAATTGCAGCTGCAGCTGCAACAGATTTACATGAACTCATTCGCATTCATTTCATGCGCTCGCATCCGATTGCATATATTAGCAACTGACTATGTCTGTCTATATATGACTGCCAGTCAGGCAGTCAGTCAGTCTATCAGACTATCAGTCAGTCAGTGAGTCAGTCGATTGTCTGTTTGATTGTCAGCTAGTCTGCGCCGCGCTCTTTAGCAAGTCCTTTATGCTTATGAATATGCGCGGGCATTTCGAATTGAATCGCCTGATTGTCAATCTTGCGCATTTGATTGAAGGCCTGCCATTCCTGCGCGTGACAACTTGACGAAGCATGCATATCTAATGCGTATATCAATCACGCACTCTAGCCATCAAAATTTTGAATATTAACTAGAATAGATACATAATCCCAGAAAGCAGCATCGATTGGCAAAGAAATGGAAACACAAAGAATAAATCGACAATCCATAAATAAGTCGATCAATAAGCAATTTGAAACAAGAATTTGAGATGTGAAAAATATTTATTTGAAATATTATATAAATATTATATTATAAGCTGACTTATATTTAATAAATTCCAAAAAGGTTGCAACTAGCTTAGTCAGAATAAATCACGGATAATATATATAAATACTATAGTTTTCAGACTAGTTCTGTGGGCAACCTATATATATTATTATACTTTAAGATAAGAATAATTAAATTTTTAAATTTTTTTTAAATTTAGAAAATATATAGGTTTACTACATACTCTCTTCAAATAATATAGATATATATTTTTAAGCGAGTATTATGTAGTCAATAATGCCCAAGTAGAAAATTCCTAAAAATCCTTGCTTTGAATTTTGCCTAAATATCCTGCATCTTTGCCCACTGTGCCTTGCCGTTCGAGTTCTAATGCCAACTGACAATTTAATGAAAATACCAAACAATTATGACGCACACTGCGTTACGTTCCCGAGACTCGTTTCATGCAAAGATGATTGGCGAAAAGCAATTTATTGATTGGCAGCTGAGTAAATAATACACGATTAGAGCTTTCCACAACGCTTGAGCTTAGTTAAGTTCGGCTCCATTCAGTTGAGCTGTCGACAATATTTTGTGGGTGCCCATATTCCACTTTAGTTTCCCTTGCCTTCTTTCCTTTTTGGCATTCCAGCGATTAAGCAACACGCAAAGGTCGCCAAAATACAAAATATTGATTATGGCCCCCCGGCTAGACGCTCTAACAATAATAATAACAAATAACAACAATAACAAGAGCGACCCGCACAACTAGTTGGGCTCGGCCGCCCCTCCAAACAGTTCAATAAAGTGGAACACCGAAAAGGGTTCATAGGAAGTATTCAAGTGAAATTGATTGAAGCTGCTGGCTAGGGCAACTGAACGGGGAACTAGAAAATAAAATGAAAGAGAAAAAAGAACAAGAACACGATAACAAAACAAACTAACAAAATTTAATCAAATTGCTAAACTTTAATTTAATCAGTTTAAGTAGAGCACATATGATATGAAACCAAAAGTTTTCCTTTGACTTGTTAACATCAAAGACAAGTTGCTGGCAGAGTTTAACATGCACATTCAACACCTCATTGTAAAATGATTTCAATTTTTTTACGGAGAGAGGAATTGACGGAAGGATTATGACAGGCAGTTAAAAACCTTCGATTAGATGTTTTCTGAGTTTACCCATTATAAACATATAAATATATGTATATATATATATTCACTTTGCCAATGCGCTGAGGATAGGAGATGTGAGGGAAAATTGTATTTGAAAACTAGCTGGGTATACGTACAATTCGAATAGTGGTATAAAAAAGAGGCACATAACGCCATTACTTATATGGCAAATACCCGCCAATAATCCAAAAACACCTGCTAGATAGAAATATTTTGCCGATTCGCTCCCGCAGTGATCCTTCATAGCGTAGAGCAAAACAAGTGCACAGACGAATAGCAAAACTCCGCCAGTCAAATTAAATATTATGGACTGCAAGGGATACAATATTGACTTTAAAGAATGTGAATCAATCGCTAAGTAATACTCACGCACAATTGGGTCCAAGCCCAGACTGCTACAGAATATTCGATATATCGCCAAAAATACCGTATGTAGGGTAATGCCTGGTAAAAAATATGCGAGGAACCATAAGGATACACCATACTCGCCCCCCCGGACACAGTGCGAGTTAAGCAGCTCGGCAATAAAATAGATAGCGATCAATTCGAATAGCTGTTTAAATATACATATTGATTGATGGATTGTTTGTCATGCAGGAAGAAACTTTGGATCAACTATTTTATTTATTAAGTGGATATCTGCAGCGATCTTTGCCTCGCTTACCGCTGTAACAATCGTTAATGTCCAATTTGCGACACGAAAAACTGTCATACTGTGAATTTTGTAATTGTTGACAGAAAAAGCAAATCCGATGCGACCGCCCACAAAACTGGGGACAACAACGACAAGTCCCCTTCAGATCCTGCTGAAAAATATTAACAAAAAAAAAAAAAACAAACAAAAAGTGAAATAAAATAAATAGAAATAAGCCAAAGGAAAACGAAAAGGGTTCCATTGCTGACACCGTTATTGCCCCAGGACTGACCTCGTTTGGCTGGGGGGCAAGTCGTATCGCTAATTTCATTAGTTGCGGAATGCGATGCGATGATTTCATGCAATTTAAAGCCACATTTTTCAGTCGCCTGGCATTTAGCATACTCGTAATTGTAGACGTGGCCCATACCTGGGCCCAGCGCGTCCAGAGACCCGGCCGAGAGCCGAGAGCCGAGCCCAGCCAGAGCACTCAACCCTCAGGCTTTTATAATAATTGCCTGTTGACACGGGATGGCAATGGGGTCCAGTTAGCAGACGGGTCAGCAGGTGGGAGGTGCCGTGGTAAGTAACGTTTTATGGCCCTGATAAATGAAATTTCAAAACGAAGCCAAAACAAACGAATGGAAAGTGTTTTAGTTGAGCATGTGCAACTAGAAGATACCCTGCGCCAAGCGACACATCCTTTGGCTTTTGTTACACATCTAGGAAAATATATTTTCTATAGCTAAAACTTCTAACTACTAAACGAACACGGCAAATTTGATGATTGTAACTCTTTTAGTTCTCGAAAAATGCTTGAAAATTACTTATCGTCCTAGAGCAAGACATAGTCACAGTGAACGAGCTGTACCTCTTGAATTTCCCAAGCAATGCTCAAGAAATCGATTTTTAAGTGGATTTTGAGCAAAATTTGGAAAACAATCGGACATTTCTAAAATGTGATTTACGAAAATATTTACAAACGATTTTATCATGGCTTACCTTATAGTTGTAACACATAGTTCTCGAGATGTTTTTGAAAAACCCTAACTTTTGGATTTTTCATGAAATCACAGCAGAAAAAGATTATAACTGTTTATAAATATGCTTTACTGATGGGGATGGAAATTTAGTCTTCGAGTAAATAATAGAATGAAAAAAAATACATGATACCCTAATCCATATACCCATGATTTCAATGTATAACAATGAAAGGCAAAGTGGCCAAAACATGACTTGAATCAACTACAAGCCCAATTCTACCCTTAACCCAGACGCGACTCTACTACTATTGCTCTCTCTCTCTCTCTCTCGTTCTCTCCTTCTCTCTAAATATATAGAAAATGTCCTTTAGTTTCGCTACGACTCGATGACAGCTCGACACTTGGCTCATTAAATAGCCAATTTCGTATCGATTTTTATTAAAAACAAGATATTCTACTGTGGCCTAGAAAATTTAAAGCCACGACAATTGCAGATTGGGCCGCAGGGCAGTCAAAACTAGTGCGCCAGGATATTGTAAGAGACTTGGACAAATTTATGGGCAAATTTTCAAGCAGCAACTTTTACAGGCTTATATGTATACGCCGACAGAGCCCGTGGAAAAGTATGTGCAATCCCTGGCGCATCCAAAGTGGAATGAAAGAGACTGAAAATAAAAAGCAAAAGCTAAAGAAAAATACCAAGGAAATGCGTCCAGCTTTGGGATGGCGAAGTGTGAATACGCTTTCATAAAAATATAAGTGCACGTTTTTACTGTGAATTGATCGATTCAGGGAAGAGGCGAAGTTAATTGTTGATATAAATCAGAGAGAAAAGGAATTTACGACTGTAATTTATGCAAAGCTTTGACATGTTTTCCAAATGTATAAAGTTAAGAATAATAAATAGAATATGTACCTATAATATAGTAGCTCGATCAAGCTGGAGTCGAGCTCTCAGCTGTTTGCAGCTATAATATATGCAATAGGTCTATCCAAAAATCTATGAATATATAATATAATCATTCAATCAATCTCAAATCGATATCTTATGCAAAGATCCCAAATATATTATCGATAAAAATCGATGCATTACTGCGAATGGCTTAAACCTATATGAAATAGATGCATCCAAATATCCAAATATCTATAAATATATTCTATAATAGTTCAATCAGTCACAAATCGATATTTTATGCAAAAATCCCAAATATGTTATCGATAAAAATCGATACATCACTACGAATGGCTTCAAGCATCTCTTCCTCTACCAATTATGTATTTGTTAAGCAAAATTTCGACCTCTGACCGTTGCATATTCGATGACATATTGATCATGCCCGAATGCAAGTGCATGGCAAAAAGGAAAGTCGACGCATTTGCCTTGTTAAAACAACAACGGAAATGTAGGCTATGATTTGCTTACTTGCCAGGACATTTGCTCTGTAAAAGTGCTGAAATATGCACGAACAACTATGTATAGGTATATGTGTGTGCGTGAGTGTGTGTATTTGTATGCTTGTGCTTATATTGGAACTTCATGACCGTCACACACACACATACACAATGACAGCTTACATTGGTGTTGCTTGAGAGTTGAGAGCGCACATAAATCAAATACATGTAAAATTTTGTGCTTTCCGCACACATATCCTGCGCCAGGGCATTGGCCATACACGCAGGACATCATACGCTTACTTTCTCTCTGTATTTGTGTGTGTGGTTTTCTGTGTCTCTCTGCGAGTGTGCGAGTGTGTGTGTGTGCTTGACTCTGTGTGCACTGTGTTTTGTGCGCATCCGTTAACTTTGTCATTTTTGCTCATTTCCTTCCGGTATGTGCAAGAAAAGTGCAACAAAGCCAATGACAACAACAACAACAATAACAACAACAGCAACAAACTACAAGCCAAACGATATAATTCCCAGCACTGCAGCGCTGCACCACTGCATCACTGCACCACTGAGCCGCTGAGCCACTGACAGGCCGTAAGAAAGCAAACAACAACAGATGAAAGCAAGCTAACATAACAACAGCAACAACAACAACAGCAGCAACAGTGTGCACAGCGGGATCAGCAGCAATAAGCTGGGGGCATAACTTGCTGTAACATACACGCATACACGATAACCCACACACACTCACACACACTCACACACACACGCACACACACACACCCACACACAGTCGCACTCAGTCAAGAAATTACTAAGACATTTGGCTTGCTATAAACTTTGCAGCTGGAATTTAATTATTTTGCAGTTGCAGCTGGAGCTTGAGCTCAATTTTTTGCACATTAAACACAATATATGTAATACACAATAGTTGCCAACAGATAGCAGGACACGCCCCCTCACACACGCAGACACCCGTCTCAACTGTATACGCTGCCAAAATAGCAGCATTTGCATGCGATTTCGCTGGCATTTATTTCAGTCACACGCTGAGCTTGCTTTATGCAAGGTCAAAATCGTAAATTAGTGAACGAAAAGAAACAAGTGGAAAGAAAGTGGGTCTTACAGACAGGATAATACTCTGTTAGGACCATTTATTAGATGAAACACATGATGTGAGAACTTAACTTGACCTTGGAATTGAACAAAATGATCTAAGGCCATCTTATCGACTGGTCTAACAGACTGACTCAGTTTGGGCTAAGAGTTAAGCAAAGGATACCTAACACAGGGAAAAGTTGTTGGATGAAAGAGATTATATAAGATCATAAAAGTTAATAGAGTTGCACTAAGGAATTCGCTTGAAGACCTATTTTAATTGACTTCGAATGGTGCTAAATTGATGAGCAAACTATCGAATAACAGCTGCTAAAATACCCTGTAATTATGAAAACTACTCATTTGCTTAGTATGTCTACCTAATACAGTGGTTTACGGTTTACTTAAGAGTCTTTACTCAACTTCATTTACAAACCACTTTAAAACAAAATACGCTATCTATCGATTGCTAAGCTATTGTCTAAAACAGCCCTATTTGTTTATAAAGCTCATATCAAACTTGAACCATACAACAGGGCTGACATCATTGAGATCGATGATATATTCCAAAAAACCAATATGCTCTATACTTCATTCACTCTACAATCCAACAAACAAGTATAATCCTAAAATAAGTTTACTTTGATTTATTTTGCTTAAGAATTTGGCAAGAGCTTAAAGTATTTATTTCATCTGGTACAATTGCTTATACGCTTAAGTAATTTACAAAAATAAATCTCTCTAAATAAAATGAAGTATATTGGAGCTGTTGCACTCAAAGGCAGCCGCGTTGACTGAAGGCAAAGCTACTACATGCAACTAATTAGCATGGCTTGTTGAACTTTTTCAAAAAACCAATTAAATCTCTAGAACACACACAGAGACACACAACTTGGTAATGAAAAACACACGTGTGTGTGTGTGAGTGAGTGAGTGTGTGCGAGCCTTTGATCAGAAAAAGTTTCGCGTCTAAAGAGCAACGAATACCGTCAAACGCGTCAAACAACTTTTGAAAAAAAAAAAGTATTTTTTTAATAAAAATATATACATATGTAATAAATGTATGTATATATATTTGTGTGTGCATGTGTAGGTGCAATGACCGCCTCTTAACTTTGTCGTATGAGGAAAAAGAAATTAATATAAAAAAAAATAAAATAAAATAAAAAATTAACAAACGACAAATAACATTATTAACGTGAAATTAAACTTTGCAAATTTGTTTGCCAACGCCGTCAGACATGGCATTAAAAAAAAACCTACTTGACAGAAAGCTAAAAAATAAAAAAAAATTAACAGAAGGTGACATTTGAAAACATTTTCATATGCGCGGAAAATTGGCTCATGAGGCGAGAGTTGCCAAAGGCTTTACGAAACATTTTTCTAATTACTTTAAATAAGCAGAATGTTAAGTAAATGTTGATTTACAGTACTTCAAAAGAATAATATAAATATGTTTATAAAGAGAATTGGGCATATAGATTATACAAACATGATTTTAGAATTAAAACGTAATAAAATTCTAACAAAAATATTTAAAAAATAATTTTAAATTGCTTAACTCCCCAACTGTCTAAAAATACCAAAAATATATATTTGAAAGCAGTAGAAACTTCCAATGAAATATGAAACGAAAGCCAGCCAGACGGCAAAGCAATGGCTCAAAGACATAATAGGCTACCCTCGCAGATGCTCAAACATATAACATATAATAAAGTGAAATGTGCTGTGGCATGGGACAGCGGGCCATCGGCTGCAACTCTACCTATGCAACTTTCCAATGATGCAACTTTTTCCTTACATTTTTTTGCTGCTGCTGCTGCTATTTGTCAAGTGGGCAAAAGTTGAAACGTATGCGTAACACGTACTATATGGAATGCTCAACTATGTAGCAGAGTGTAGAATAGTGGCAGAATGGTCGAGTCTTGTGGGGGGCTTAGTGTCAGCTTTAAAGTGCAACCTTGTTGAAATGGAGTACAAGTGCAGCTAAATTAAAGTTTCACATTTTTCTTCGTCGTCTAACCAAACACTTTTTAACAAGTGTGCGGGTGAGTCTATGTGTCTGCGTGTGTGTGTGTGTGTTTGTTTGTGTGTGTTTGTGTCTAAATGTGTTTACTTTTGCAATTTCCTCTTATTTGTTTTAAGTTTTTGGGCAAACACAGTGCGCACAGTGCGCTCTGTTGGCTGTTAGCTGTTGACGTTAAGTTCTCAGACCCAAAGTTT